AGTTGGTAGTCAGTCATGGGTTGTGGTGTAAGTGCACCACATGATAGGATAGGATGCTACCCATGTGGGAATTGAAACTTGGCAGTTGGTGCTTCATACTGGCATTCCCCTCTCTAGAGCTTACAGTTTCCTTTGCCTGGGTTGGGTTTTGGTCTAATTTTTCCTAAAATAGGAGTTCAACTCCTGAAACTGAAGACTTTCTAAGGTCATTCTTAAATGTCTAACTGCAAGAAGTGGGAACAATAGTAGTGTTTCCCTTATTAAAAATTAAAAAGAAAAATCCTAGTGAGGGAGGGAAGAAGAAACCACAGGGGAAATAATTCTGTTGACATAAAGAGAAAATTTTTCTCTTCACACATATAGCCTTCCATTCTCAGGTATGTAAGAACTGAAAGTTTTAACTTTCTTCAATTATTAGAACATGACTTCACTCACATTTTAAAATTGTCTTATTAAAGAAATGCTTAAAATAAGGATAAGGGCACTAAGACTTTTAAGACTCACTAATGCATAAATTATTTAACTGAGGATTAAGTATAGTCAGGGAGCCTGGAGAAATCCCTCTGTATTAATGGTTTATCTCATTGTGTTCCACAAGTTAAGCAGAGTAGAGGCAGACTGAGCCCTCAGCCAGAGGAATGTGAAATAAAATTATTCTAATTTTTTCCAGGGAGCATATAACTTTCTTTTTGTTGGTTTTGGCTTTATTTTTCTCCATATTTTGGAGCATTGGTAAATACAAAGGCAAGAGTGGACTTGGATCAGTGGCATGGAAAAAGTCCCAATAGGGCAGGGTTCTGTTAGCTGGGCCTCAGCAAGTCCTGCTTACTAACTTATTATCTTATATGATGAAACCCACTTAAGAAATCGTTGACCATGGGGCCTCCCTGGTGGCACAAGGTGTTAAGATGCAACCTATGAAGCAATCTGCAGCCACTGCAGCACGAGTTCGATCCCTGGCCAGGAAGGTGACCCACATGGTGCAGCAGACCTCTCCTGACTTGCCTGCTGCTCCCCTCAGCAGTGTATTTCAATCTGCCTGTTATGTTCCCCACTCTGTCTCTGGTGAATCCTCTCACTGCACCCCCCCCACCCCCTCTGGCCTGTATGCCAGTTCTTGTGTGCATAAATAAATAAAATCTTTAAAAAAAATCATCGTTGACCTGCATAGATAAATGTATTTTCTCTCATTTACTATGAGGGTAGTAAGATATTTACTCACAGGCCCTTCTATGTTGTACCTAAACAGAGCTTGTATCTCTAGAATGTGGCACAATGTTCTAGGTGACAAAACAGAGGCAATGCCTTCTGTTAGCTGTCGAATAATTGCTCAAAAGTATTTGAAGTATTTGAAGGGGTTTCACAAAGATAGTTCTACCAACCACAATTAGAATCATTTCAAGACAAATGCAGGAAGACCAGACAAGCATTTGTTTTTCTCCTGGAAGTCTGGAATTTTGGTCAATGTTAGGCAAAGGATGCCTATGTAACCAGTCCTCAATTAAAAGGCTGGGTGAGATTAAAGAACTAGACATAAGACCTGAAACCATAAAATATATAGAAGGAAATATAGGCGAAACACTACATGACATGCACCTCAAAAGACATCTTTACAGACACATCACCCAAAGCAGTGATAGTGAAGGCAAAGATCAACAGATGGGACTACATCAAATTAAAGAGCTTCTGCACAGCAAAAGAGACAATAACCAAAACAAAGAGAAACCCCACCGACTGGGCGAACATTTTTGCACACAACACTAATGATAAAGGACTGATCACAAAAATCTGCAAAGAGCTGATGAGACTCAACAACAACAAAGAAAATAATCCAGTCAAAAAATGGGCAGAAGAGCTAAAAAGAAACTTCTCTGAAGAGGAAATGCAAATGGCCAACAGGCATATGAAAAAATGTTCAACATCACTTGTCATCAGGGAAATGCAAATCAAAACTACCATGAGATACCATCTTACACCAGTGAGAATGGCACATATTGAAAAAACTAGCAACAACAAATGTTGGCAAGGTTGTGGAGAAAAAGGAACTCTCCTGCACTGTTGGTGGGAGTGCAAACTGGTCCAACCACTATGGAGAGCTGTGTGGAGATTTCTGGACCTACTAAACATAGAGCTTCCATATGATCCAGCAATTCCACTCCTAGGTATTTACCCAAAGGACACAGAAACATCAATTCCAAAGAGCACCTGCACCCCTATGTTTATAGCAGCACTGTTTACAATAGTTAAGCTTTGGAAACAACCCAAATGCCCAAAAATAGATGACTGGATCAAGAAGATGTGGTACATATACACAATGAAATATTACTCAGCATTCAAAAAAGATAAACTCATGCAATTTGCAGCAACATGGATGGAGCTGGAAGGGATCATGCTCAGCAAAATAAGTCAGAAAAAAAAGAAAAATACAGGGTACATTCAGAAGTGCGGGAGAGTGAGAGTATTCACCATAGCCAGAGTAGGGAGCAGAGCGACACGAAGTACACTGCCGAGGGGAGCAGTGGGCACAGCAGGAGAGGTCTGCATACCATGTGGGACCCTCACCAGCGGCCAGCCCAGCACTCAACTGCTGCACCACCCGGGAGGCCCTATTTTTAGTGTTATTATTAATGATCTGTATACTCCTCACCTGTGAGGTTCAGCCAGTTACAGCAACAAAATCACTTTGTTATGAAATTAAGACCTGACCTTCTCACCCCCTACCAGGCAGGCCTACCCTGAAATGAGGCATCTCCATTGGATTCCAAGTAGCCCCTGGGGGTGGTGGCAGGTGTTCTTTTTTTCTGACTAGTTGCCCCATTGTAGGGTAATGATGAGATGTAGCTTTCTTGTGGCTGTAGAAGGTGGATGCAGGAGGGGAGAAGGCCAGAATGGGCATGGAGTTCTTTTGTTTCCTGATGTTACTGCAGCAAATATTGTTTCCTAAAACTGTAACCTAAATAAGAGACCAGGAAAAAGACTAATTAACACAAAGTAAAAATCAAAATCAACAAGCAACTATAAACCAGAGACACACTGGGGGGGGGGCGGTGGGTGCAGGGAGGGGCGGGGAAAGGAAGGTCTAGAGTCAAAATAAGGGGGGAGGTGCAATTGCATGGGGAATATAACCAAAACGAAAATGCATACATTGTGCAAAGATGAAAAAAGATGTAAGAATTGTATAAAATAAAATATTTAAATAAAAAAAACTGTAACAGGGTGGTCCCCAGGAAAAGGGGAGGTTCCAGGTTTCCCGCCCCACCCAAAGGAGGGTGGAGCTGAGCAGGAAGAAGAAGCTGGACAGGAAACTGGAGAAGGAAGGAAGAAGGATGAGAGCAAGAAGAAGACCTGGAGGAGGCACATGGAGCAGAGAGACATATAAAGAAGCTGCACTTGCTTCTTGGTCATGGACTGGTTGAAGCAGATGTGGGTGAGAGACCCATGGGAAGGTTAACAATGGCAGCTTTTATCTTGATTTTGATTTTGCTCTTTTCCTCCCAGACTTGGCTGGCTGTTTTTGATCATTTTCTATGAGTCCCTACCGGAAGGTGCCTTGGACCTGTGGCAGGCTTTTGGGCCTTGCTCTGGGCCAATCCTGTTTGGGTGGACTTTTACCCACAAGGGTACAAGTAACTTTGGGTGCTTGATTTAGAAACTATATTCTTTCTCTTTTCTGTATTGTTCACTAATTGTATTAAAATTTATTTGTTTTGTGTTGATGTGGCAGATGGCAGAACCTATTTAGAATAGGCAGGTTTGGGGGTTCTGGGGTGCCCCTCTCCCTGCCCTGTAACAAAACAAGTTGTGCAAAACCATCAGTGATTTTCTAAGAGAAAGTCACTGCAAAGGAATGGAGAGTCAGGAGCATCATAGACAATAAAATAGAAATTAAGATATTCTCCCAGTCCCCCACCTCAGAAAAAAAAAAAGGGGGAAGCTATAAATATGAAGGGGGAAGCTAAAATATGAAGGGGGAAGCTATAAATATGAAGGGGGAAGCTAAAAATATAGTATAAATTAACTAGCTGCAGAAGCCTTTTGATTTTGTTAATTATTCCTCAGTATAATTTTTTTAATATTTTATTTTATATAATTTTTACATCATTTTTCATTTTTGCACAATGTATGCATTTTCATTTTGGTTATATTCCCCATACAATTGCACCCCACCTTATTTTGACCCTAATTCTTCCTCTCCCCGCCCATCCCCTGCCCCTAGTGTCTCTGTTTAATAGTTGCTTGTTGATTTTGACTTTTACTTTGTATTAATTAGTCTTTTTCCTGGTCCCTTATTTAGGTTTTCTAAATTCCTGCTGACTGAGACCACCCGGTAATTTTCTTTTTCTTTCTGACTTATTTCACTGAGCATGATCCCTTCTAGCTCCATCCATGTTGCTGCAAACTGCATGTGTTTATCTTTTTTGATTGCTGAGTTATACACAATTGTGTATATGTACAACATCTTCTTGATCCAGTCATCTATTTTTGGGCATTTGGGTTGTTTCCATAGCTTAGCTATTGTAAATAGTGCTGCTATAAAAATAGGGATGCAGGTGCTCTTTGGAATTGATGTTTCTGTGTCCTTTGGGTAAATACCTAGGAGTGGAACTGCTGGATCATATGGAAGCTCTATCTTTAGTAGGTCAAGAAATCTCCACACAGCTCTCCATAGTGGTTGCTCAGTATAATTGAAAAAAAAAAATTCTTTTTAAATTAAGGGCTTTTATTTCAGAATTTTCAGTGACTATCCTAGGCATTTTTGTCTGAATGAAAAACCTTGGAATCACTAGGAAAGTTGTCTGTAATAGAAATAATGAAACCACGGGTTCCATAGTAATATAAAGCATAAAGATCTAGTCAGGATCCCAAGTATCAATATGTTTAACAGCTGTGCTGAATTAATCTCTCTTAAATTTCGTGCTATTAGAAGTCACAAATAAACAACTTCTGATTAAAAATAAACAGGAAAAAGCAGCAAAGGCAAATTCAATAATATACTGACTTTATTTTGAATTAAAACATGGAATATGTTATCAAACAAATGGATGTAATGAAAAACTTTCATTGTTCAATTAAGAAACAAAATTTGCATAGGAATTGCTAGTTCTAAGTCCTAGAATGCAGACCTCATTGAAATGTGAATTAGAATAACAGAACATCCAATCATCTACTTATGTGCAAACTAAAATGCAATTTCACTATAAGTTACAGATTTCTTGTTCAGTCTTTGGTGAGTGATTAATCCTCTTCTTTGCCATGGATAACACTGTAATTTCATCTAGATCAAATATGATCCTGCTAAGCTAGAGGCATCTTACCTACAGTAACCTATAGCTACTGGATTCATTTTTATGGCTCTAATATTGATCAAGAATATTATCCACTTAAAATATCCAAGGAATAGGCCAAGGACAACCTGTTTTAGTGAAAAACATTAAGCTTGTGATTTCATGCCATTTTGTCTTTTGGAACTTTGCAATCAGTATCCACAATAACTGTTTTATTTATATCAGTAATTGAATAACTATTTTTGGCAAAAGGGCTAACTAAGGGGAAAATACAAAGCATTTAAGGCCACATTATATTTCTTTTCAAAATGAATATTTTTTATGAAATGCCCATGGAAATATATATTTGCACAACTTCAGTGAATAAAAAAGTCAGTGAAGAAATTGGCACTACATTTTAAGATACTAATGCTTCTATCTGGGTGTTCTGGCAATACAGAGTTGTTCCTTACCTTGCAATTAGAATGTAGGCTTTATTTCTGCATAATTAATCAGGCTGAGGGCATATCTGGGATCTGTGGGTTGCTCTTTCCTGGCTTTTCTGCGATATTGAGTAAAATAAGCTGATTTTTGTTGCACTGATCACAACAAACTTTAAGAGGATATCTTCTAATTTCAAAAGTTATAGTCTATCATTTACCAGTTAAAGATAATAGTTTTAGTATTACTGGAAGTTGATTTAAAAAGCCTGTTAGAATTATATTTCCCACCATCTTAACATATCTTTATTGGCTGGAAACTAGAGCAGAACATGAACAAGAAAACTAAAGATGTATTTAAATAACAGAAATATCAACAATATTTATTACTGTAGATTAAAGAAAGAAGTTTTGATGTGTGTGTGTGTGCAATTAGGCACTGACTGAGGCATTTAGACACCATTGATTCTAAAGTGCATTGAATATAAATTTTGACACCCTCCCCCCCAATGGGATAAAATTGAGGTTTCTTTATTGGATCCAATAAGATCAAAAACATGCGTAGATGAACATCTATTATACTCTTACAGTATTAGTAACAACACAATGAACTTGCATATATCATCACATTTTATCCAAGGACCTCACAGTCATTGGAGCAATGTGGGGTTGGAAGCTCAAGATGCCACAGCTTATTAAGTCTATTTATTTATGGCAAAGGAAATAGATTCCCAGCTATAGAACCAAAACAAAGCTCGAAGAGACAGTCAAAATTTCTTGTGATTTGTAATTTTCTGAATTTCCAAATTTGAGCTTATATCCTACCATAACTACAATACTGACCCTAGGCAAAAAGATTTTGACATGTTTGAAATAAGATGAGGACTGACTAATAAATTAACAATTTTGTCATTTTTATAGTTCAACAGCCCATCTTTGACAAGCACCTGGTGGAATGACAGCAGTGGCTTTTATATAATGGAACTATACAGATCATTGGTTCATGATACTCATGGTATGCTACTTGGGTAGAAGAAAACATTTTACACTGAAATGACATACACATAGTTATATAAAATGTGATGGAGCTCTATCTTTTAGCAGACTGACATTTAACACAAAAAACAAAAGTGCATTGATTCTGTATTCCTAAAGGAACAAAATTTTCTGTCTCCCTGCTTAGTCCTGAAAACGCTCTTAGAGTATTTAACTCTATCTTAAAGTTTAACTGAAAGACCCAAGTTAGTGTAGTTAACCACCAACGTGCCCAGCCCCACTGAAGTAGGGTACAGGCCAGTACTGAAGTGAGGGGAAGGGCCCCTGAGCTGTTTTGCTCTTGACTCGGTGCATAAAGCACAGCTCTTGCTCAGAGACCCAAGGAGTGCATTCTGGGCATTTTCTCTCTTAAAAAAATTTCCAACACTATTTGAAAAGCAATTTCTTTTTTGGACAATGTGATTAAGGTGTCTATCTTTCAAATACCCAGGCAAGTTAGCTCTTCCTGTGACCTTCTTTAGTTCGGAGTAGACGCAATATACGTTCATTTTTAGTTAATTCTGCTGGAAGTTCATTGGCCTGAAAGAAAATAAGATAGGCATTAGTGGATTCCCATAGTCGGTACAGTTTTTGAGGACTTCAAGGAGAAGCTGCTGACCCAAATGTGCTCTTCTTCTGGTGAAAAACCCCATCGGACTTAGACTTTTGCAATTAGTCACTGTAAGTCTCCTTAAATGCATAAATATCTCTTTAGCTCTTCTGCCCATTTTTTGACTGGATTATTTTCTTTGTTGTTGTTGAGTCTCATCAGCTCTTTGCAGATTTTTGTGATCAGTCCTTTATCATTAGTGTTGTGTGCGAAAATGTTCTCCCAGTCGGTGGGGTTTCTCTTTGTTTTTGTTATTGTCTCTTTTGCTGTGCAGAAGCTCTTTAATTTGATGTAGTCCCATCTGTTTATCTTTGCCTTCACTATCACTGCTTTTGGTGATGTGTCTGTAAAGATGTCTTTGATGTGCATATCATGGAGTGTTTCGCCTATATTTCCTTCTATGTATTTTATGGTTTAAGGTAGAGGAAATGCAAATGACCAACAGGCATATGAAAAAATGTTCAACATCACTTGTAATCAGGGAAATGCAAATCAAAACTACCATGAGATACCATCTTACACCAGTGAGAATGGCACATATTGAAAAAACTAGCAACAACAAATTTTGGCAAGGTTGTGGAGAAAAAGGAACTCTCCTGCACTGTTGGTGGGAGTGCAAACTGGTCCAACCACTATGGAGAGCTGTGTGGAGATTTCTGGACCTACTAAACATAGAGCTTCCATATGATCCAGCAATTCCACTCCTAGGTATTTACCCAAAAGACACAGAAACATCAATTCCAAAGAGCACCTGCACCCCTATGTTTATAGCAGCACTGTTTACCATAGCTAAGCTTTGGAAACAAACAAATGCCCAAAAATAGATGACTGGATCAAGAAGATGTGGTACATATACACCATGGAATATTACTCGCATTCAAAAAAGATGAACACATGCAATTTGCAGCAACGTGGATGGAGCTGGAAGGGATCATGCTCAGCGAAATAAGCCAGAAAGAAAAAGAAAAATACCGGATGGTGTCACTCATAGCAGGAATCTAGAAAACTTAAATAAGGGACCAGGAAAAAGAATAACTATAAGAAAGAAAATATCAAAATCAACAAACAACTCTGAACCAGAGACACTCTATGGGGTGGTGGGGGGTGGGGAAAGGAGGGATTGGATCAAAATAAGGGGGTTGTAATTGTATGGGGAATATAAAAAAATAAAATTTAAATTAAAAAATGTATAATTATCTCCTGTTAGGGATATTTTTCTATCTAGCCATACCCCTTACTAGACTGTAAACTATTGGAGGCAAGGGTCCATGTTTTATTATTCTTTGTATCCTTATTTACAGCACAAAGCCTAGCATATCTAGAATGTGTTCAATCAATACTGGTATTTCTAAAATTGATATGTAGTTAATTATATGAGAGTGTCTGCTAGAGATTTGAGACTCAGGACGAGCAGGTTTTGATAAGAAGTACAGAAAATCCAGAACATAAGAGATACAGAGGCGTGTCCTTTCTTTTCCTCTTGTTACTGAGACACTTAACAGATTCATTTAGGGGGTCCCCACTGTTCACAACAGATGTTATGGGGCAGTGGGTCTCAAACCTTGTGGTTTCAGGAACTTTTTACACTTTTTAAAAATTACCCCAGTGAGCTTTTTTTTTTTTTTAACAGATTAGAAATGAAAACTAATATAGGTTAACACAAGTAACATATTTGTGAAAAACCATTGTGAATTTTTTTTCTTTTTTTTAAAAGATTTATTTATTTATGCATACAAGAACTGGAGAATAGCCCAGCGGTATGGGGGTGAGAGGATTCACAAGAGACAGAGTGGGTTGCAGAACAGGCAGATCAACTGAAACACACTGCTGGGGGGAGCAGCTGGTGAGTCAGGAGAGGTCTGTTGTGCCATGTGGGTAGCTCCCTGGCCAGGGATTGAACTTGTGCTGCAGTGGCTGCGGACAGCTTCATAGGTTGCGTCTTACCCCTTGTGCCACCAGGGAGGCCCCATTTGTGAAGTTTTAATAGCAAAAATGTTCGTGAAAAGAGTAACAATTTAATAGTGTTGCATATTTTTGTAATGTGGAGCTTAGCAGAAAGCAAGTGGATTTTCCTATCTGCTTCTGCATCCAAACTATTGTGATATGTAGTTTTAATTGAGGCATATGAAGAAAATTCAACTTCATGAAGTAGTTGGAAAAAGGAGGAACATTTTAATAGCCTATTTAAGATCCTTGTAGATACTCCTCTCTGAATCTACATGAATATTGAACAAGTGTAGTTTCATAAAAGTTAATTGTAATATGAATCTGAAAACACATCAATGAATTTTTCATATATTAAAATCCATGGGTCTATCTATCTATAGGTAGATTTTTTTACCCATGCATGACATCATGCACTAGTCATTTGGAAAACATTAGTTCACTGAGCTATGCAGACTTTCCAAATGTATTTATATATTATGTAATAACAGGAGATCATGGTCATTAATATTACCAATGAGTCATCAGAAAGGCCTTAAGTACTGAGAAGCTGTCAACTCACAGTGTAGGGTATAAGTCATTCTTTCAAGTACAAATGGTGTTTCACGAAAAACACGGCTGATTTATTTTGCAACTCACACACGAATGCTTGTCCTTTTTAGAAATCATTGTATTTCAGTATACAGCAGAAGTGCTTTAAGCATACTTCCCACTTTGTTATACAGAATATTAAAAGGCATCTGACATGGGTCAAGATATAATAAAATTAAAATTATTGCTTCATCAAATCATTTTTCCACAAAATGGTATTTTTGTAGACTAATTTAGAAAATTTGTAAGATAATATACAAAGGTTTGAGATGTCATCTGCTGGTATGGTAAGGCGACCCTGCTTTGATGAATACTAAGGGGCCTTCAGTCATATCCACCACTGCTTTTGCACCATTAGGGCAAATGTCAACATAGTGAAAAGGCAAACAGTGTCTTTGTATTATTAGGACTATTGTTTCAAACTCTGAGACCTCCTGAAAGGGTTTTGAGGACCCCCCAGGGGTCCCTGGACCATACTTAGAACTATTATTATAAATGAATCAAAAGGATGTTCCTGGGATTTCAGTGGGGACAATCAAAGGGTCAAAAGACACTGAGAATGGGGAGAGGGCTTGCATGTAGATGTTACCTATATCACATATTTTCTCTCCTGTAGTCAAGCTTGGAATCCCAGCAGCTTCATCTGGGATCCTGATTCTGGCTGAAGAACCTGTAGTCCTCACCTTCTAACCTGAATCCTGTTCTCTGATGCCCTACCTGCTAGCTGGGACATCACTTATTGGAATTATACAGGGAGTTGTTGGGAATTATGAGTTTGCCACACGAAGTCTACTGTAGGGGCCTCCCTGGTGGCGCAAGGGGTTAAGATACAGCAAAATGAAGCTATCAGCAGCCACCACAGCACAAGTTCGATGCCCGGCCAGGCAGCTGACCCACATGGTGCAGCAGACCTCTCCTGTCTAGCTTGCTGCTCCCCTCAGCAGTGTGTTTCAGTCAGTCTACCTGTTCTGTTCCCCACTTTGTCTCTTATGAATCCTTTCACCCTCCTCACCTCTGGCCTGTATCCCAGTTTTTGTACACCTAAATAAATAAATCTTAGAAAAAAAAAGAAGTCTACTATATAGCTTGTACTGCACTCCAGCCCACCACAAAGGACCCTTGATGCTGATGCTAAGCTGAGCCAGGCAGGAAGTGAGTATGCTGTGCCATGATAGCACAGAGGCCCCTTGAAGGGGTCATATCCAACTATTAGTTCTTGCAGGAACAGACACTATACAGGCGTAGACCCACAAGGGGACTGCTCCCGGTAAACAGACTCAAGCTCCATCTAGGTTCAGGGGATACTTGGGAATAACAGGGCTGTTTTGCATCAGTTATTGACTCTTGGTGTGCTGGCTGGCAGGGAGTCAAAGTATCCTTTACAATCAGGAAGAAGGAATGTAAGAAGCAGTGCCTCTCTCTACAATCTTGCCCAGCTATGCTGCCTATGTGATCATCCATGACTGTCCATATCTTTTACTATTAAAATAAGTTTTATAATTTCAAACTTGAGTTGTCAGCTTGGTCATTCGCATCACTGTTCTGGGTGTCATCAGTCTAGTTTTAAAAACCTTGTCTCATTTCTCCTCTCTCCAGGTTGGTACCCACTGAATTCTCAGGTTGCTGAGGCTGTGAGGACTGTCATGGTGGTGAAAGCCCAGAGTGGCTCTAAAGGTTATGTCACTCATTGCGAAGCGGGAGATTGGTCCAAATTCACGATGCCACCCACATCATTTCACACTTTCCTTCCTGCTCCTGGGAGAATGCGTTCTGAGGCTTCAGTTAGGAGTTTTGGTGAACGCAGGATCCTTGGGGAAGGCTATAGTGGAGGGAGTGGCTACCGAGGTCACTGCTTAATCTCTCCTCAGGTATTTATCACTGCTTAATCTCTCCTCAAAGCTCTAGAGTAGAAGCCACGGAACTCCTGGACTGGAAGAGCATGTCTGTGCTAGCTTAGAAGTCACTGTCTCTGGGGAGACTTCAATAGCATTTTTTACTTCCCTGCTTATACTTCTTGTCACTCCAAAGTGTAGTTACTTGTTTATCTTTTATTCCTCAGTAAACCTGGAGCTCCATGAAAGCAGAATCTATGTGAATCTCCTTCACCACTATACCCTGTACCCCAGCACATACCACAACACATGGTTCTGAGTGGGCACTCATAAGTGTTTGTTGAATGAATGAATGAAGACCAAGAATATCATCTCAGGAGTTCTGGGTGGCTGCTGGAATCCCAACACCCTTGCTTCTGGAGCTGCTTTTAAAGAGGCTGACTTCTATGCAGCGGCTGTTGGTGTGGTCGGGAGTTCCCCGGCAGCAACTCCCAGGCCTCCCAGGGCTTTTGCTGCATGAGGTGCCAAGGTGAACAATCACACATACATTCAGATAGCTTTATGGAGGGTCCAAAGTCCAGCATTTTGGCACTGGAAATTCCCCATAACTGTCATTGACGAGATTCTAGCAGACACACAGGAATTGCTTTTTTTCAATTTCCTTATAAAGGTGCTAACATTTCCCCCTTGCCTTAATTAAGTGCTGGCAGCTTAGCAACCAATTGATCTCTTGAGGAAATCTGTGTCTAAGGTCTAAAGATAAGCAATGGTGATTTCATCTGACTCATCACATAACCAGGCCAGTTAATGGAAAACAAACCCCAGTATCTCAGGAAGAGAGAAGCACAAACGTCTTTAAGCAGTTCAATGGTAAGAATGGGGGAAATAATAATTCTACATGCTAAGTGGGTTAGAAAAAAAGGCATTTGGCATTGTTGCTTAATTGAATTTCTTAAGTTTCTTTTCAAAATTTATGAAGTATTAAACTGTTTTGTTAAAAACTTTCATACAGTAACAGGTGCTTATAAAAAATTTAAGTCTATGAATAAAATGAAAATTGCTTTCCTTCCCAACTAAGAAGCACCATAGCTACTACCTCCTTTGAAAGTCAGTGCTTTCTCAATGCCTTTCCGAGGCTTCTCTCCTGTCTCCTTATCTCTGCATTTACCTTTTACTTTCTTTATAAAATGTATTTCCTGGGGTCTCCCTGGTGGCACAAGGGGTTAAGCTGCAACCTATGGAGGTATCTGCAGCCACTGCAGCATGAATTCGATCCCTAGCCAGGGAGCTACCCACATGGTGCAGCAGATCTCTCCTGTCTTGCCCGCTGCTCCCCTCAGCAGTGTACTTTGGTCAGTCTGCCTGTTCTGCTCCCCACTCTGTCTCTGGTGAATCCTCTCACCACCACACCTCTGGCCTGTACCCCAGTTCTTGCATGCAAGAATAAATAAATCTTTAAAAAAATAAAATGTGTTTCCCCTCCACCATCTCTTATATCCCCTAATCCCTCTCTCTCTGCCCCCTCCTTTCATCCTCACAGCCCTCAGGGTGTTTATAAGGCCTGCTAGTTTTTGCCAGTATTTCACTTTGTTGAATCATTCACGATGTAAATATCCAATATTTGCCCCCAATCTCTGCATTTAGCTGCTTATAGAGGCATTGACTAGGAGGAAATACACTGACAACCATTTTGTTTTTCTATTGTTCCTGTGCCTCTTTCCACCTCCAAGTGCACTGAATTGAAAACTAACGATTTCAAACTATAAGGAATAAAGGTTCATTTTGTGACCATGGGGCAAAGTCCTGTGAATAATACAAAGGCAACATTTTCCCCAGGTAGTCACCAAAGAGAGCACAAGCAATTCTCAACATACAAACATCCAATGTATGGAGAATGGTGATGAACTACCAGAATTTTGATATTTTAAAGCTGTTTCTTTGATAACAGAATACTCATACAATCTTCCCCACAATGATGAGCCCCCCCAACTCCTAGTCCCTGAAGGATGTGCCATTGTCAGCCGAAAACCATGAAAGATACAGTGTTTTTAATATAACTCCCTGGATCCAAATGTACTGCATAACCTACTAAGGAGAAGCTTACTCTGTAAAAGTATAAAGACTGACTGAGCCAGGGAGACGTTTTCTTTTTTCTTTTTTACTAATTAATTTTTTATATTTTTAAAATCATCGCTCATTTTTAAACAATATTTGTTCCCCCCCTCCCCCTCAGGTGTAGTCCCCATAGAATTTCCTTCACTAATGCACCCGTGCGCCATCACCTCAGTCCCCAGTGCTCCTCCCTCCCTCCCTCTGATCCCTCTTCCTCCTCCTCCCCTGCAGGATGTCTCTGATTTATAATTGTCTGTTTTTGCTTTGCTATATTTTGTACTGTTATTATTTATTTTTACACTGATGTCTTATTTGGTTCCCCTGTATTCCTGCTATAAGTGAAACAGTGAAATAAGCCAGAAGGAAAAAGGGAGATGTTTTCTTGGTGTAGATGATCACTGCCTTCTCTTTGCAAATGTACTCAATGAAGTGAAGCTAAGTGGCCCAATGAAGTGAAAAGATGGCAAGGCCAGTACCTTGTTTCTCAGGGCTGGGTCTGCCCCAGCTTCCAGGAGCAGGGCCACTGTTTTAATGTTACCGCTGAGCACTGCCGCGTGGAGCGCTGATGTCCCGTTCTAAGAGAGAAGAAGTAGACAGAGTGTCAGGAGGGTGCTCACAGCTGTGTGTGTTCAGCTTGGCTTTCATGGGGAACTAGCCTGAGTGATGAGACTATAACGTCGAAGTCCTGCTCTTCTTTATATGATCCCTTCTTTTTTAAAGGATAAAAAACTTAATGGCAATGGGATATGCAAATACTTACATTGAAAAATGCAGGTTCCATAAAAGTAACTAACATCTTTAAATGATATAAGCAATAATTTTGACAAACAATACAGATTAGGATATAGACGTTGGGGAGATGATAAGACTATTGGTTAAAAATAATAAGTGGTATTGAGAAGTCCATTCATTAAAATGGGTAAGGACAAAGAAATGAACACAAAAATTTAGAAGAAACTATACCCTTATATGGTGATTGTTTCCACTTTACAAAGGATTCACAAAGATCATTTCCAATTGAATTAAGTAATTTGACTTAACTAAATAATGAGAATCATCTTTTTCTTATGCCTGAAGATTTAGTTAAAAAGAATGCTAAAACATTTTCTTTGTTTGATTGCTAATCTACAGTTATCATTACTTAATGTAATCATTTATAATAATAGCAGCAAATTAAAGCAAATGAAAAATTATGACATTTTGATTCTGAGTTTTAGATAAAGAATCATGATAAACAACCAGAATATGGAAAATTTCAAGACTATCAAGTATATAGCTCCTTTTCAAAATCATGTCGGCCCCTAATAGTTTCCTCAGATACACAGCAGACTGTATAAATGTTGCCAATATTCTTTTCCAAATGAAATAAGAGATCTAACCCAGAGAATATGACCTACTGATGATCACACAGCCAGTTTTATATACTTTCAAACTTGCTGAGGAAAAAGCAACAATACCATGTCAATTTTTTTTTTCTTTAAGGTCAACACACATAGTGTTTGTGCTTTTGGTGAGCTATTTCCAGCCAGCCTGGAGGAAGAGCTGGTTAGCTATATACTCTCCACCCTCTCAGGTGACAGGGCAGCAACTGTGGACTCGATCTTGGAGATGCATGGCGAAAAAGTATAAGTAGGTAGGATGAGGAAATCCTTTTGATCCCTGCACTGGCCCATTTCTGAGGGTAGAAGGGCCCAGCAAACAGGCTGCTGACATTTCATGAATTTGCTGCAAATATTTATTGAAATAAGGAAGCAGCTACATGCAGCATATGGTGGGATTGTGGGAGAGGAGAGGAAGAGAACCTGGCAAATTTATTATAAGGATAGGCAGTCATACGACATCTGTTCCAGAAGGTACTTTTGTATATGAAGTACCTAAACACAAGCTTGGTTTTCAAATTAACTTATAGTAAAAAAAACTCTAATTTTTGTAAGAGTAAGATACACCCAGAGAAAAAATCCAGCAAAACAATGGATTTCCATGTTCACTTTTATAATATGTATCAAAATTCACTAATTTCATTATATCTTCATTTTTCTTCTCTAAGTCATAACCAACCTATCAACTTCACTTATCTGCAACATTGGTAAGAACAAAAAAAAAACAAGTTAAAAAAAGAGCTGTTTGAAGCCAGACTAGTTTTTTGCAAAGTTGATTTCTGAGTTCATTTCTGTCAGAGTTCACTTTCACGGACTGCTATTCTTACTTTACAATGTCAGCATGTGCAGCTTTCTGGCTTCAAACTTCTCATTGAGACAGCGGAGAGAGGCCAGCACACTGACAACAGCCACTCTGTATTAACTGAAGCAAGAATCGAATCTAAAAGTATAAAGATCAAATAAAAAGTCTCCAAAAAGCCCTGGGATCATTCAAGGGCAAGTAGACTTTATATACATTAATAAACCCTGAGGGCACAGCCCACAAAGTGCTAAGCCCTGTGCCAAGTTTAGAACAGGTTTGGTGTCCTGTACTTAGGAAATCAGAAGCTTGACTACCAGGAGTCAGCAAATTACTATCAGCAGGTCAAATCCAGTTCAACTCTAGCCACTGCCTGCTTTCCTACATCTTGGCTAGCTAAAATTTTAAAAAATTAAAAGATCATTTTGTGACATGTGAAAATGTGAAATCCCAGAAATACAATGTTGGTAAAATAAAGTTTTATTGGAATACAGTCATGTTTTTAAAATATGCCTGACAGTTACAGTGGCAGACAGACACAACAGAGACGGTGTGGCCTGCAAGGTCTAAGATGCTTCCTACCTGGCCCTCTTTTGAAAAAGATCACTACCCCCTAGATTATACTTTAGACTTATCTTAATCCCAAATGATTACAAGATAAGAGTTTTGGGGCTCTGTTTTCTGGAAGACCCAGCTCTTCAGACTGATACATTCTCTGAGATGCCAAGATGTTTGAAGCTTTCTTTAGTTCATCTAAGGTAGCAAGGTGCTTCTTTGCTCTACATAATGAAGAGAGAGAACAGGAAGGCATCCCTGGTGTTTTGAGACACCAGTAATGTGTTTCTTTATTTTTGGATTTCACAGAGCCTGCTCCAATGATATGTCCATTTGGCTAATTTTTCAATTTAGCTCTTTCATTATTACAATATTCATTTTTCTGGAAAACTAGACACTGGCAGACTCTGGTTCTTGCTTTTACCTCCTTCCTATTTCCCCCAGTGATGTTGCCACCTCCAACATTAAGAGAATAGGGATCTTTGCCTTTGCGTCCAGCACCACTGAGACTGCTTGGATCCAGCCACCGTTGGGGCAGATAGTAAGCACAGGGAAGTGCCCTTCTGACTGGCTATTTTAGGATAGGGATCTTTGCCTTTGCATCGGGCACCACTGAGACTGCCTGAAACTGGGAAAGGGCTGCCCCCACAGCCAGAGGTGAGCTGAAGGCCCCCACAAGCCAGTCCCGCCTGGCAGGGAGTCGGAGCCCAGAGGGGGATCCAGCAATTTGGAGCCCAGCAGGCGATCCAGCCACCCCACCTCCAGGGCAGTCTGTGGGACCTCAAGACACAGCTCTGGAATTAAACAAATACAGAAGGAGATATTCTGTGACAGCGACCATTAACATATTCATAGTACCACTGCCCTACTGGACTTCTGGCACAACAGTATTTGACTCGATTGGACCACCAGTTTCGGACATCCCAGAAAGAGCACAGCAAAAAGATGCCGGCCAGTAGCAGCGAAACAATGTACCAAAGCATAGGGCAAATTAGAAAACAAGCAGCAGGGAGAAGAAAAACTACAAACAACCAAGCAAGTCCTCAGGGAAAAGACACACCACAAAAAGAAAATCACCCACCAGATTGCAACAACAGTGACTTGAAAGAACTTCTGAACCTTCCAGAAAGAGAATTTAAAATTGCCATGATTAAAAACAGACAGAAGTCATAAAGGAAAACAATGATAAGGGAAAAATAATCAACGATCAAAAGAATGAAATTGAGTCCCTAAAGAGGGAAGTGAAAGAAATGCAGGAGATCAAAGAATTAATGGAGGAGCTAAAGAACTCTGGGAAAAGCAGTGAAAGCAGAATAGATGAAATGGAAGAATGAATAAGTACTCTCGAAGACACAGAAATAAAAAGAACCAAAACAGAAAAGGAAAGAGAAGTACGAATGAAAAAGAATGAAGAAAGACTTTGGGAACTATCTGACTCCATGAGGAAAGGAAATATAAGAGTTATAGGATTCCAGAAGGAGAGGAGAGAGACATAGGAACAGAGAAAATATTCAAGGAAATAACTGAAGAGAACTTCCTAAACATGAAGAAGGAGCTGAAAATAGACATACCAGAAGCAAGAAGAACACCAAACTTCCATGATGAAAGGAAAAATACAGCAAGACACATAATAGTACCACTCCCAAGAATCCATGACAAGGAAAAAATAATGAAGCTGACAAGAGGGAAGAAACAGATAACATTCAAAGGAAAACCAATCAGACTGAGATCAGACTTCTCCGACTAGGAGAAAATTTTTGTACACAACACTAATGATAAAGGACTGATCACAAAAATCTACAAAGAGCTGAGGAGTCTCAACAAAAACAAAGTAAACAATCCAGTCAAAAAATGGGCAGAAGAGCTAAAAAGGAACTTCTCCAAAGAGGAAATGCAAATGGCCAACAGGCATATGAAAAAATGCTCAACATCACTTGTAATCAGGGAAATGCAAATCAAAACTACAATGAGATACCATCTTACACCAATGAGAGTGGCACATATTAAAAAAAACTAGCAACAACAAATGTTGGCGAGGATGTGGAGAAAAAGGAACTCTCCTGCACTGCTGGTGGGAGTGCAAACTGGTCCAACCACTATGGAAAGCTGTTTGGAGTTTCCTCAACCTGCTAAATATGGAGCTTCCATATGATCCAGCAATTCCACTCCTAGGTATTTACCCAAAGGACACAGAATCATTAATTCAAAAGGGCACCTGCACCACTGTTTTTAGTAGCACTATTTACAAACCTGAGACACACTACAGGGGTGGTGATTGGAGGGATTACAGTCAAAATAAGGGGGTGTGGGAATTGTATGGGGACTATAACCAAGATGAAAATGCATGCATTGTGCAAAAATGAAAACTGATGTAAAAATATATAAAATAAAAAATAAAGTTAAGAAGTATAGTAACTAGAGGGATTCAAGCAGTTATCTGGGCCTCATCTACCACACTAAGAATATCAATGTTTTTTTCACATTTGTTACTATGCCATGTGCTTTCTTCCTTTTAAAATATTTTCATAACTTGTTATCTTACTGTAATAATTTGGAGAGGAAAATACATCATTCATTAAACTATTTACAAGTCATATTTTAAAAAAAAGATGTTGTACACATATTGTTTCAGAATACAGCTGGTTAGAATTATACATAGATTCTACTGTAGGCCTAAAGTACGGACTTCTTAATTTCTAACCTCCCTGCTTAATAGATCAGTAAAATTTCTCTTTAGGTAATTCTTACCTTCAAAATACCAAGAGTAGGTGAAAATTTCAGCAATTCCTCTATAACATCATGATATCCTTTGTTGGCTGCTTTCAGTAATGCTGTGGTCCCATCCTTCACAGAGAGAGGAAAAGAAAAATGGATTATCTACCTAAGTGTGTGTTGGCTAAGAGCGAGATGTTAGTTGACAACTGGGAAGATGCTGGTCTGACACAGACCCATAATGTCTCTTAATCTGGGAGCATTTTAGAGAGCACTAAACAGTTAATTTTGCATGAAAGAATATCAGGCATAATGTGTGACTTTGAACACTGCCATTTGGGAAATTCCTATTCCTCTGGTCCCTAGAACATTGGGTAAGGGACAAAAGCAACTTGAAGAACATATTTCTAGGGCATAGGTGGACCAAAGAGGCGTTCAGCTGCAGTTCATGACTTAGCAGAAACTGTTAAACTGTATTCATTGTTTTAAATTTTTTAAATGGGTTTTTCTTTTTTTGCTTTCTCTTGCCCTTGTCTGCACTTGTGGGGTGAAGGAAGTGGGGAAGACAGGGAGACTGAACTCAGAATGTAAAGACAAAATTCAAAAATTAGTATTTAGTTTCCGTCTTTTTTTTTTTTTTTTTTGACCTGAGAAAGTATTTTTTCAAATTCCCCTTTCTCCTGTTTTAGTGCATCAAATGCTGTATTTAGAGACTTTAGTTCACAGAGTTCTCCCAGAGTAAGGGAAACACCCCACTCTGCATTAAAGGTTTAGCTGGAATCAGGAAGAAAGAAGATGAGATTAGAGAATTATTCTTTTCTGGCTTCAGAGATTGTAGGAAGTAGAAAAGGAGCGAGTGGTCAGGAATTTGTCTTTTGATCTCTCCTTTCTGGGCTCAGACTTGAAGCCGGAGGTGGGTCACTTAAGGAAGGGTAAAATACTAAGGGCAAAGAACCCTTAAAAATAAAAAGCAAATAGCACCGCGTGCTCAGGCAGCACTTTCTCTCCAAGTTGTCCTTAGTTCCCATGGGGCACAAGGCCTGCTATGGGCCCCTTGAGGCAGAATTAGGCGACACCAATAGAGGCTAAGTGGAGGCCAACGTGGGCAGGGGAGAGCTGGATGAGGCCAAACAACCCTAGTACCCGGACACCCCAAACCACAGACAGGCGCTGCCAGCTGCACTGCGGCCCAATGCCAGCAGGAGGCTCAGCGCCACATCTCTGAGAACAGCCCCAGCCCTGGCTCCTGCTTCCGGCATCCTCCCGAATTCATCCATCATCAGGTGGAGGAGGATCTATGAGGAATTAATCATTTTTTTCTCCTTAGAGAGAATGAGCAGCATTTGCTAAGTGTCAGCTAATTCAGGCGTTTACTTTGTTTTCCTGCTAGATAGCAGGCGGAGGTTGGGGGAGAACCTGGGTGAGTTACAGACAAAATTAGGATGCGCTTTCCACGCTGCGCCTAGTGCTTCGGCAGGTCCCACCCTGAGCCCCCGCGTTCCCAGGCTTTCACCCCGACTCACATTCCGGGCGGCGTCGCGGTCGGCTCCGCGCAGCAGCATCACCCGCACCACCTCGCTGTGGCCCATCTGGGACGCGATCCACAGCGGCGCCGTCCCGTCCTGCGAGAGAGGACACGCTGGAGCCCCGATCAAGGGCATCCCCGCGACAGCAAGTCCGACCCCGGGAAGAAATCCCGATGTCAAGTCCCACAGACCCCCGGTGTGGAGAAAAGAAAGGGAAAGATGACTTGAAGCCATTCACGCACGTAGCCAAGGCCTGGCCTGCTCGGGCAACTGCCAGGATTCAAGTTCTGGCTTATCAAGCAGCCATTTGACGGAGGGATGTTGTGCCACAGTTTGGGCAGGACTTCGGAGAACACGCTTTGGGAAGCTGCTGCATGGTTCTCCTCCCCAGAAGCAAATTTGACAGGCCCAGGGAGTTCAAGCCGCTGTCGGTTTGCTGGCTTTCCTGGTGGGGTCATGCAACACACCCTGAGTGGGGGTCCCTTCTCCCACAGAAGAGCGGGCAGTTTCCTGTGAGGCGCGATCAGGGGGTCAGGGAACTGTGGATATTTCTCCTATCCTCTACTCTGTGTCTAGAACTCCCAGTCACGTCATTTCGAGGGACTTTAAATGCAACATGTGACATGGTGGTTTTTTGAGGGGACACACACTGTTTTCAGAGGCTGAGATGTGTTGCTTTGGAGAAGAAAAGATAAAACGTTCAAAGGACCATAGTTCCAGAAAGAGAGGAAAATAAGAAATCTTTCTAGTGATGAAAGGAAAGCACTATAGGAGGGGGGTGGAGAGAAGTGGGGCAGATGTGAGTGTCCATGTTCACCACCCTCTGGGTTGAATCTGGCTTGGGTAAGCTAGGGGTAGTGGAAACACTCAGATAAATTATGGTATATTCCAGATGGAGAAGGATTTTCTCCCATCCTTAAACTGAAGCCCCCTTAAAGAAATTCTGCTCTTGGCTGGTGCCTGAGAAGTAGAAGAGAAACAGCTGTGGGAGTTGTCTGGGCCAGTAGACCTGAGACACGCCCCCCGTAGCCCTGACCACATGCACCTGGCATCTGGGCATTCAGGAGTCCTTGCCTATCTGTGGGAAACCAGCTGTGCTGGATAAACAGTGGTGGAAGTAAATCTGGATAGGGGAGATAAGGCCATAGAAGCTCATGACTTCAAGAACACAGACAGGGTCCAAACATGCTGGACCAGCTGCATCTCCAGCTGCAGCCTCCAGCATGAGGTGCCAGGGACCGAAGCTGGGCCAACCAGCAGAAGGATCAGATGTGAGTGTTCCCACGGCCTCTCAATGCTAGGATCATAGTCTGACCTCTGACAATTGAGGTGACCTTGGAGAGCAGGGCAGGTGGAGGGAGAGGATTCAGAACAGACTAAACATAACCTCTGCGGTATTTAAGGTAATATGATCCAAAGCTCTAATCAGATGTCTGATTTACTCATCATCAGCGGGAAGGGGGGCTGAAGAGCAAGATGATTCATTTTTGGAATATTAAGTTTTATTTTCTGCTGTAGTATGTGATTTCAATTCCAATCTACTAGTCACAGCAGACACAGGATTATTGCCCACTGCTGTCTGTGCAGAGCGACATGTAGATGCTTGAGTGGGGTGGTGGGTGATGGCAAGTCTGGAGCCTAGAATGATCCTGAGCAGTGAAGGGTGACAGGAGGACACTGGCAAGTTTGTGTCTTAGAGATTAGAGGAAAAGGTGCTGACACAGGAAAGAGGAAAGCCAAACCATCTTGTTCTACTTCATACTTTCACAAAGGCCTCTTAGAAATGTTCCTGAATCTTAAACTATCATTGGCACTGATAATTAGCAATATAAATAAAACCTTAATTTGTACTTTTTGTTTGCAGAGTACTTTTATATTCATTCTTAAATTTAATTAATTAATGAATTTAGAGTTTGTGCTTTCAGTGCCTTTTTTTTTCTTGGTACATAGTAGATATTCAGAAAATATTTACCAAAAGAATGAATTTTCTATATATGTGAAAAACAGATAATCAACTTTATTTGACAGGAAACTACATATATCAATAAGTAAGTTCCAACCAGGCTCTGGAAGATTATCTCTAATTAAGGGTATGAGCATCTAAATGAATGTAGTGATATAACCTTTGCCCTCTAGGAGACACAGTGTCAATGTATGGGGTACTAGTATAGCAACATTTCCCTACCCTACTGATATGCCTATTGGAAATAATTCTATTTTTGAACATTAATTTATTAATTAATTGATTCTCCCAATTCAGGATCTAACTAATCAGTCATTCATTCCAACACCCACTGAGCATCTTCTAAGCTTAGTTAGAGTGTTAAAAATAAGTTTTCTACTGGGTCGCTACATGCAAAAGAATGAAGCTTGACCACTACCTCACACCATACACAAAAATCAACTCAAAATGGGTTAAAGAACTAGACATAAGACCTGAAACCATAAAATACATAGAAGGAAATATAGGCAAAACACTACGTGATATGCACATCAAAGACATCTTTACAGACACATCACCCAAAGCAGTGATAGTGAAGGCAAAGATAAACAGCTGGGACTACATCAAATTAAAGAGCTTCTGCACAGCAAAAGAGACAATAACAAAAACAAAGAGAAACCTCACCAACCGGGAGAATATTTTTGCACACAACACTAATGATAAAGGACTGATCACAAAAATCTACAAAGAGCTGATGACACTCAACAAAAACAAAGAAAATAATCCAGTCAAAAAATGGGCAGAAGAGCTAAAAAGAAACTTCCCAAAAGAGGAAATGCAAAATGGCCAACAGGCATATGAAAAAATGTTCAACATCACTTGTAATCAGGGAAATGCAAATCAAAACTACCATGAGATACCATCTTACACCAGTGAGAATGGCACATATTAAAAAAACTAGCAACAACAAATGTTGGCGAGGGTGTGAAGAAAAAGGAACTCTCCTGCACTGCTGGTGGGAGTGCAAACTGGTCCAACCACTATGGAGAGCTGTGTGGAGATTTCTGGACCTACTAAACATAGAGCTTCCATATGATCCAGCAATTCCACTCCTAGGTATTTACCCAAAGGACACAGAAACATCAATTCCAAAGAGCATCTGCACCCCTATGTTTATAGCAGCACTGTTTACAATAGCTAAGCTTTGGAAACAACCAAATGCTCAAAAATAGATGACTGGATCAAGAAGATGTGGTACATATACACCATGGAATATTACTCAGCATTCAAAAAAGATAAACACATGCAATTTGCAACAACATGGATGGCGCTGGAAGGGATCATGCTCAGCGAAATAAGCCAGAAAGAAAAAGAAAAATACCGGATGGTCTCACTCATAGCAGGAATCTAGAAAACTTAAATAAGGGACCAGGAAAATGAATAACTATAAGAAAGTGAAAATCAAAATCAACAAAAAACTATGAACCAGAGACACTTTTTGGGGGGTGGGGGGCGGGAGGGAGGGATTGGTGTCAAAATGGGAGGGGGGGTTGCAATTGTATGGGGAATATAAAAATACAATTTATTATTTAAAAAAATAAGTTTTCTGAGCTCAAAGGCATTCAGTTCAATGGAGAAGAGGTTTCTGTGACTGTAGGGCTATAATTAAGAGGCAGACAAAAATAACAAGATAAACCAGGAGAGGGGTCTTACTACTGAGGGTTACAGGGTCAGCTTCAGAGTGGGCTGATATCTGAACTGGGCTTTGAAAGGGCAAAGATTTTGCCGGGTAGGAAAGTGTAGAAAGGATATTGCAGGTAGAAGGAAAAAATTTAGTCACAGTGGCTTAAACAAGTGTAGCTGGTTCAGGCAGGGTGGGAAATCATAAGGGCAACTCCTGGTGAGGTGCAGCCCTTCTTCCTCCTCCTTTTAAGCTTCACTTGTTCTTTGTCACTATCTCCACCAGAGGGCAGGCAAGGAAAAGCAGCCAGCAGCAGCCAGGGCAGCTTTCAAGGGCTCGGTTGTTATTGGTACAGTTATCTTAATTGACACTATATGTGGAAAAATGAGAGATTCTACATTGGGAACATCTATAATACAATTTATTCATGACACAACACTAGCAATTTTATCACCTAACTGCAATAGTCATAGTAGGTGGAAAAAGGTTGCTACTTGCTGGTTTTAAGAATTTAGGGCAATCGGGCCTCCCCTGGTGGCGCAGCGGTTGAGCGCTGGGCTGCAAAGCTGCCTGCAGCCTCTGCAGCGCCGGTTCGATCCCCGCCCCCGGAGAGGGTCCCACATGGCGTGACAGACCTCTCCTGCCGCGCCCGCTGCTCCCCTCAGCAGTGTATTTCGTCAGTCTGCCTGTTCTGTTCCCCGCTTTGGCTCTGGTGAATTCTCTCACCCTCCTGCGCTTCTGACTGTACCCAGTGCTTGTATAAATAAATAAAGAAATCTTAAAAAAAAAGAATTTAGGGCAATCATGCTAAGCCTCAGTGCCCTCCTCTGCAAAAATATTCCTTTCACAAATATACTGTGAATGAGAAAACATGTAGAAAGGCACAGGGACTGGCTAAAAGATGCTTAGAAAGTGATCACTGAATCTGATGGTGGGAATGCAAATTGGTTCAGTCAATATAGAAAGCTGTGTAGAAGTTCCTCAGAACACTAAAAATGATCTACCACATGACCCAGCAATTCCACTCCTAGGAATCTATCCAAGGAACACAAAAACACCAATTTGAAAGGAAACCTGCACCCCTATGTTTATTGCAGCACTATTTACAGTAGCTAAGATATGGAAACAACCTAAATGCCCCCAAACAGATGAATGGATCATAAAGATGTGACATATATATACACAGTGGAATACTACTCAGTGATCAAAAAAGATAATCCATGCCATTTGCAGCAACATGGATGGAGCTGGGGTAATATGCTAAGAGAAATGGGTCAGAAGGAAAAAGAAAAATATCGGATGGTTTCACTTTTATGTAGAATATGGAGAAACTGAACAAAGGGTCAAGGAAAAAACAAAACTTGCAAGCTGATCATAGATCTGAGGCCTACAGCAGGGGAGGGGGAGAAAAGAAGGTAAAAAGGGGGCAGAGGGCCTCTCCAGTGGTGCAGTGGGTTGAGTGCCGCTCTGTGA